TGGATGATATGTACAGAACAGTGATAAACTGATGGATCAATGGGGAAATTGAAAGACATGCACATACAGTAGAAAAGGATGGTTAAGTAGATAGACTTAGATCTATAAATGACAGATAGGATATACCTGGATGGATGGATGAATGGATGATAACAGCAGAATGAATAATGGATGCATGGACAGAAGGAAGAATAAATGGACAGGTGATAAATGGACTGATGGATGGAGGAATTGATGAACAGACTGATGCAACCTTCTATGAAAACGATAAGAAATAAACTGGTTGGAGCAATTGACTAAAAAAGATTTAGACACTAATCATGCAGAAAATAGAACCTGCAAAAGTAAGTTTTCTTCACACATCTGTACAGAAACCCAGTCTTTCAACATGTGAGCAACAACAAGAAGGGTCGTCTTAAAAAAAGAAATCCCAAAACTGAAAGATAAATTCCACGAAAAACAATGATTGTAATAAATATGCATATGGAGGCGTTTTCGTTCATTTCTGTACACAAATCAGCTCCAAGGGCTCTGGGCAAATTTCTGTTGCTTGTTCTCCATCTTTCCTAATAGCAACAGAACTTTTTTTTCTGTTGTTGTATGAAGGCAGTTTTCTGGCTGGCACATTGGTTCCTTACTCAGTCTCCAAACATTCCCATGAGAGGGAGTTTTATAAGCCTTCCTAAACAGAAGGCATTGTTCAAATTTTATAGTTGTTCCTTCTCCATCATCAGATTGCAAATTGCTTAAAATGACAGCGTTCAAAACTAATATATCTACCAATGTTTTCATGCAATTTTTCTCCAATGAAAAAGCCTGTTCCAGACCTAAGAAGGTGGGAAAAATATGCTGTGGGTCTCAGTAAAGTATGACGACAGTGGATATTTAATAAGCCAACGTGGGATAGACGTTAAAGCCAAACTCCCAATGCTGAACCATAAACCTGATAAATAACCCAAAAAAACATAAAATATTCATAGAAATTTATACAGGAGTACTAAAAGGCTTCCCTTGGGGAATCATTCATATTGGTGTCCATTTAACAAGCCACAGGATGCAGAGTGTAAAGGCTCTTAAAACCTTCCTTGCTAATATTAGAGCAATATTTCACATTTTTCTCCAATGGAAATTAAATGCCTTCAAGCCAAATACCACAGTTTAAACTAGAGTTAAAACCCAAACAAGTCGAAAACCGACACATCCTGTTAGGCAAAGTGCACTTTTCTGAGTTTTTAAAAGACATTACAGCTTAATGAATTATTTATGACAAACATTTGGTTTAGATTACCTCAACTGCTGCTCTGACCAAAAAGCAAAATGAATCAGACCATCAAAACAGAGCCTTGAATTTAGTTAAATCTTCCTTCAACACTCCAAAATAATTAAACCTAAGTTTGCTCTGTCTATTCTGTGCAGACTTTTTTGGATAGTCAAACATATTTCAAAAAAGTGTTAACAGTAAAATTTTGTTTAAAACCTAAATATAGAGGGAAAAACAGAAAGATTTGAAGAATTGTTGTGCTTCTTAGTGTATGGCACCTAAAACATTAGTCAAGGTTTTGTTGTTTAAACAGTACCAAGCTCTATCAGTTTTGGGATTTAAAGTCCATTAAACATCTGGAATCTACCCAAGTAATGATTAAACCAATGCTTCTATGCCAGCTGTAGTTTTAATATAGTAATGGTGGTGAAAAGCACAGGCAGTCTTTTCACCACCATTTAAAATTATGAATTACCAGTATGAGTTGTCTAAACTTTGTTCTAGGGATGTTCCGATCCGATATCAGTGTATATATGTATATATATATATATATATATATACGTATATACACTGCCTGGTCAAAAAAAAAAGTCGCCACCTGGATTCAACTAAGCAAATTGGTACGAGCCTCCTATTGGATAATTACTGCATGGGCGATTATCTTTCAGCTAACAACAAGTTATTTAACGCCAACTGGTGCATTGACTTGCTTCTCATTTCCTAAACAGCCATGTCGAAAGACGCATCCCGTGCTCTTGGAAAAGATATTAGTCTGTTT